GGCTGATTAGTGGCTTGATTATTGAGCTATTTAGTGTAGTTGCAGTGTAAGATCCAGCAGAATCAACCACCTCCAGTTCAAAACAAGACTTAGTAACATTTATTATATTTATTCTGTGTTTAAAAGCACAAAATAGCATCAGCAGACACCAACAAAATATATGAATATGGTCAAATGTTCTACCGTACAAAAGTGAAGGACAAGGTTTTAAATACACTTTATACAACTAGAGGCATGCTCAAAATCTTCCAGGAACATGCTGAATATTCAAACTCTAAATTGTCCAGCTCAAATTGGCACGATGCATTTCGACATAACACCTGCACCGGTTGGCATATTCTGAATTGATGGAACTAAAGTCATGTCAAAACTTTTCTAAATAGACAAAACGAAGTGCTAAAATGGCTGAACATTATGTTCTCAGACGCCAGTGTTTTTATTATTTTTTCTGGTATCCAAGGGGAAAAAAAGGAAAACAGCACTTAGTCACACAGTGATTATGACATAATTGAAAAAGACCAGCATTTTGACTCGACTCCTGTTTTGTTCACAGACTCCCAGACAAATGACAGAGACACTTTGGCTTTGAGTCATTCTTAATTTCCTGTTGCCCTGTTTTCTCTGTGTGTTTCCCACCATCTCTAAAAGCCGCTGACTGTCAGTCTCTCCCATGCTTTATAACAGTGAGCACGACCTTATTCTGCCTTCCCAGATTGCTGTTTAATAGGGGCCTTCCTCTCTAGTGAACAGAGATAAGCTAATGGTTAGGGAATTGCTCCCCATTTAGTACAGTGTCTGTCAAAAGAAAAGGGAAATAAGTGATGAATGACTGTTATGGGGTGAATAGTTTCCCTAATTCTGCCTTCACACACACAGATTAACTACCGGGTGGGTGGTTGGCTTGCTGTATGCATGTGTAATTTTAGGAGAAATCAGATAATTGGCTTGCTTTGTGCTGATTGGCCTCGCAGAATTTGACTGATTAATGCAGAACACCTACTCCGTGAATTTGAATATATTTGAATAGATCTAATTCATGTGAGTTTTTTGTTCTTCTCTGTGCACCAACTGCGCAATCAGTTAAACATATTGGATTAATCTTCTTTTCTGGGACATGAACCGTATTGTTATTGCGACCATAGTTTATCGTGCATTCCTTGACGTTTATTCAGACTGAGGGAGCAATTCTGGAACAGGAAATGGCAAGAGCAGACTGGAAATTGGTTAATGCAAGAGAAAAGTGGTCTTGGAGTATGCAATGAAAACATGTTTTTTTATAGCTATCTCTAAGTACAGAAAATGGGATGTGGCTGGTATTGTAAGCTCCGAAAATTGACGGTCTCAAAATCATTACTGCTGCCCTCCCTCTCTGTTGGGGCCCTTTAGATGCTTCTATTGGAGCCTCTCACTGAAACAGCTCTTCTCCAGATTGAGCTGTCCTCCTCTGCTGATTACTCTAGTATCCTCTGGCTATGAGACTTGAAGTGCGTGCGTGAGCGTACGTGCGCGAGAAAGAGAGTGGATGGAAGTGTGTGAGTGTAAAAGCAAGAGCCGTGACTGGTTGTTAAGGATACATTTTCCTCTTCCACTCTGGCTAACTGTCACTCTCACCCAAATATAGAAACACACACACACACACACACACACACACACACACACACACACACACACACACACACACACACACACACACACACACACACACACACACACACACACACACACACACACACACACACACACACACACACACACACACACACACACAGCTTACTCCAGTTAAATGGAAGAGACTGCCCTGCTTGTAACATTAGCCGACTGTTAGGTTAGCCAACTGGAAACGTAATGCTCTGTTACAGGTGACCTTTCCTGGACCTTGTGTGTGTGTTTAAAGCTGCACATGTGTGTGGCCCCTCATTGTGAGAGTATATGGAAATGCCTCACTATGTTTTTTACGCATAAAAAAAAGAAGCATGTCCTCTAGAGACTGTGTGCTTGGCTGCATCTGGAAGCCTCACACCTCCAAATATCCATTTGTGTGTGTCAAGTATTGTGCTTCTCAGTGAGTATTGTCCTTTTGCACAGATGTCTTTTGAATGGCAGGCAGCTAGCAGATTGCACTGGAAGAAATGGCCACAGGCCCGTAATACACATACACTCAAACCAGTCCAGGCATTTAAACGGCCGTCACAGGGGCTGACAGATTGCAGCGGACCCCTGATTGCGCTGTATGCTATTCCTCCATCAAGCTTCTCTCTCACTCTCCCAATCCTCCCTCTCTTTTTCTTCTCAATTCTGGACTTCACTTCGTCCCCCTTTCAATACATTTTTATTTTTTCATACCAACACACACAAATCAAACAGACTATCATACATGTGTCCTTCTCCAGGTCCAAACTCTCTCTCTTTCTGTTGGTGTGTGGATGTGAGTCACACCATGACCAGTGATAGGGTGCTGAGAGAAGCTCAATGTCACCTTCTCCTCCTATCTGGGTAGCCTGTCCTTCACTTTAGTGTTCGAAGAAGAAAATTGCCTTTAATTGGTCCACTTTAGAGTTGGCCTGGATGATGCTCTTAAAGGGCAGATACAGAAACTTGGTTGACACATAATCAGTGAAGTGCATGGATTCTTGTCATACCTTCATTGACTGTAAAAAACTGCTGAGATTGCAGTCTGGATGAGGGGGTGGGGGGGTGGGTTTGCAGTGATAACCTCAGCCCACGTCTACAGTAAATGAAGCTTAGGTGAACACAGAAATCCCCAACATTAAAGGTAGGGTAGGTAAGTTTGAGAAACCGGCTCGAGATCGCTAGACTTTGAAAATACACAACCGGAGAAAATCTGCCACTTCCTTATAGAGCCCCTCCTCCAACACACACGAACGGGCACATGACCAATGAGGGCACGAGATAAGTTTGTGCACAGATGGAAGGCTGACAGGCAGGTAGGCCATCCAGTTATTTTAGCCGGGCCGGCTAAAATGATTGGTCGTACTTTTTACAGTACTACGGCTTCCACAGATGACATTTTTTAATGGATTTTTTGTCAAAGCACTTAAGATATTCATTGCTATCGGGATGTTAAGAGCATTCCATGGAATATAACACAAATTGCATCTCGAGCCGGTTTCTCAAACTTACCTACCCTACCTTTAACCATGAAAAGGATGTGCCAATAGACACAGGGGGCATGCTTATAAGAGTTGTGAGTGAATGTGTGTGCGTCCGTTTGTGTGGAAATTTGAGTGAACCCATGTACAGTAATGGACTGAAGAAAGCCATGCAAGAGGATTTCAAAGGTCCGTCAAGCAGGGAAGAGAAGAAAGGCAAAGGAATGTCTGGCAGGTAGATGCCTGTCACTGCAGGGCCTTTGGGTGGGAAGGTAGACATTCAGTTAGGTGCCTCTTCCATGGAGGGAGTGAGAAGGGAAATGCTACAACAGTGTGCAGTCTGCCTACAGTATAAATACTGCTCAACATGAAGTGAAGTCAGTGGCACAATAATATCAAATAACAAGGGAGATGACACATTGTCACTAACACATTTTTATCACCTAATTTCTAAATGTAAATCTAGCACTCCTGAGCCAGACATTAAACAGCAATCTTTCCGCCTACATGTGTCCACGTCTTTGGTGATTGTATGTGCATTCTGAAAGAAAGGATCTATATTATTTTAATTAAGTAGTTTATATAATTGAAAGCACAGTATGTGAAGGGGCATCATCAAATGCAGTTAGTTAACTGAACTCGAAAACACTTTTTTTTTACGACTGTGGCAAAAAAGGGTCACAGGCGTAAGGTGACACAACAATAACTTGCTCCTTGTCTTCAAAATGTATATATATATATAAATATGTTTTTTAATTCTCCTACATATTAACATCAGCATATAGAAGCACATAGTTATTACCTCTACGCCTGAAGAAGACCACTGAGCTCAAAGGATGCGATCCTATCTGCATACTTGCCACGTTTTTTTAATGTTTTTGTCTGCGCACCTTTGTGTATGTCATTGTAACAGAAGCTTTAAAATATTGTTATGTTTGATAATAAAGGAGCAGTCTATCTTAATTGTATTTAGAAGTACAACAGAATAGTTTCGAATCTATTATTTCCTTTTCCCACCAAAATCCTCTCACTGTGATTTGTGTGCCATATTCTACATAAATCAGAGCCTTTTTGTAATCATTGTGTGTACACTGTGGGTTCATAATATGTGTGTGTGAATGCTTGTGTATGGATATTAATAGTGGGGAGGAATCTTTAAAAGTGTCGTACCACATATTATGCTCCCTTCTACTACAAATCACCCACATGATTTTTGTTTGCCGTGGGCTTAGCTGCGTTGATTTGGAAGATGTTATTTCTGTCTTACAAATGTTCTTCTCATTTCCGCTGCAGCTAGACTGCTGTTTTAACAAACTTTGACAGCTCTTGTTTGAATTCTCTCATATGGTATTTGGTTGTGTGTATGTGAACATCACACACTGAGCCAGAGATCCTTTCTACTTCTCGTCTCGTTTCCTGAGTTTGTGTATCTAGTATGTGGGTCTGTGTTTGTGTACGCACGTGTTTGCAAATGCATGCAAAGGAATGCGTGTCAGACGTGCTCATTAAAATGGTATGGGAGCTGTTGCCGTACTCCTGCTCCACTGCTCCCATTTCCACAGAGTTCTCCACGCCTTGCCAGGTAATCAGGCGGGCGAACACATGCAGCCCTGCCACCTCCACTGCCAGCAAGCGGGGCTTAAGGCCATAAAATCAGCCACTGCCAATTTAAACTGTCATGTACACTGTTGAGTATTTTATACAGCAGCAGTATAAGAACTATTAATCTCAGTTTTGTTGAGCGCTGACTGAATTGATGGAAGCTCTTGATGCTAATGCCATGTTTGTTCTCCCTCTTTTTCTCTGCTTTTCTTCAACCCCCTTCTCCAATTTTCCTTGACAACACCCCTTCCCCATCTTTTCTCCTTCTTCCACCTTACCTCTTTCTAGGCGAGCACCTGCGCATCTGTCCCCAGGGTTACACCTGCTGCACCAGTGACATGGAGGACACCTTGGCCATGCTGAGCCGCAGGGAGATGGAGGGACTTCTTAAAGATGCTGGCCGGTCCTTACAGACATCCCTCAATGGACAGTACAAGGCCTTCGATGGTGAGTTTGTGTATTCACAATATGTGGGAATTACATAAAAGAAAAACAATAATCAGCTCATCACACTTGAACATTTGACACATACAAGGACCCAGTTTTGAGTGTTTTTGTGTCAGTTTTGATGGTCTTGCCAGTTTTGGAGTTTTTATTACACATGCCCAGCCAACACAACATTGCAGACAAACACATACACTGAATATAAGTGTAAGAGATAAGTCAAAGCTTGTGTTGTGTTATACTCTTTGCAGAATGATGAAGAGCATTGATCTATTGTCATGCTTCACAGAGGAAGTTGGTAATTCCTTGCAGTGGTGTTGACAGAATGCCAAGTTGTTATTGCTATTATTAAAACTTTGAATCCAATTCGCATCCAAAGAAAATGTGATCCATTTCATCAAATGTGCTTGCCTATTCCATGCTAGGATTGGATATTATTTGAATTCCATCACCTGAATTAAATAAAGCTTCATACACTAAACAACTACTACAAATGTCTGGCTTTAACTCTTAGATCCCATGACATATTGCAGTTCCCAACTCGAATCATTCAAGTAAAAAAGGTTGATGTCATAATTGCTGTGATGTGGAGAAATACATTATAGCAAGAGTCTGAATCACTGAGTCTACTCTGCACCACAGCAAAATGTTGTTTAAGCTCTTAATAATGTGGAATAAAATCAGTACTTAATTGCAGCACTCCAAGTGTGAGAGAAGAAATGAGAGAGAAAGAGAAGTAGAGGGATTTTCAATCTTAGGAAATTGACGCACCAAGGCAATTATTTGTGTCTAATGACCTGCTCCAGTTAATAGAAGGGTATTTCTGTGCTCCACTTGTTCCCCTCGGCCAGTCAGTGACAATGGATCCGTCAGCTGAGGCTCTGAGTTTGGCTAGTTAGCCTGACCTTTTCAGATCACAGTGATTAGTGGCAGAGTGACATTTCTTTACTCCTATTCCATCGCTCTGTGTCCTTCTTCCTCATAGTCCCTCCTTTTCACACAGGGACTCTCGGCTGTGCCAAAGAGAAACCGTCACGCTGCCAAGTGCACAAACACACACACACATATCCAGGACATACAAATGATCTCAAATAAGATTATGTAATCCTACATTTCTTGAGCTTTCCCATTTTTCAGGGAAACACCTCATTTAGCAAAGCATGCCAGTAAACAACACAGACTACAGACACACACATTCAAGCAGCACTCAGCCCCGACCTTTAAACATTCTTACCATATGCATCCAAAACCTTGTACTTAAATACACAGACACACGTCACAAACTTGCTAAGTGTGTTGCCTCATAACAAAGTCATTTTGAGCTTGTTTGTGTTGTTGTGTGTTTGCCAGATGTGTTCTTATACATTTCCCTAAGTCTTCTCTCCTCTCCAAAATGCAGAATCTTGCTCCGGTCAACTTTATATTTTTTCGTCCCTGTTTTCCATGTCCCCTTATCTCATCCCATTAGGCATCAGATGGGGTTTTCGGAGCTGACAGAGGAGGATAGAAAGTATGTGTGTTGAGACCTTAAGGTCTAAAAACCATCTGTTGTTGACTGCGTTCTCTGAAGTCGGGAGCTTAACGATAGACTGGGGTTAATTGTACCATAATATGTTACATTTAATGCCACATGAACAGCACAATTTGGAAAAATCCAGCCATTCTTAGATAAAGCATCCGGTTGTTATCGTTAGCTGGTGAAAAGTGCAACATTGAGATGAGTTACCTCTATTTCAGGCTTTGATAAACATCTACACATTTAGCATTTCAGAAGTTCATTGGTGTTTGGATCTTGGGAAAATATAAGTCATATATTTGGTTGAAAATAGGTGAGAATTAGCTAATCCCTGAATAATTACAGAGTTTTTTATTCATTTTGCTGAAGGAGAGCACAGTGACATTGTACCATTCTGCCAGTGCCTGCACATCTGGCTGTGTTTAGCAGGGTGTGGGCTAGCTAGCGCCATGTGGCTAAGTGTAGGGTGTTACTGTTCCAGCCCAGGCAGACTAGGCCTTTTTAGGTCCAGGGATTTTGGAAGAAGCCCCAACCAAGCCACAGATTAGAGGACCAGCGTGCTCACATACAGCTGGCTCTCTGCCTGTGAGTGTGTACACTGAATACTATATGTGAGCATGCAAATGCTTGTTCATATTCATGTATTCTTTTGTAAGCTTCAGATTTAATGTGAGAATTATATTGGTCTTTGTCTACATTATCTGTGTTTGTGGTTTGCACTTACTACTCGACACTTCTTCACGGTCATGTATACTGTGTAGAGAGGTACAAACTAAATAATATATTGTGTCAAGCTAAAACGCAGTGTATAATGCAGATTAAGAACAAAGGAGGTGAAGGAGAGGACAGAGTGAAGATGAGACAGATGGAAGGGAAAAGATAAAGAGAAAAGGGGACAAGTCGTCAGAGCAAGGACGAGGGAAAGAGATAAACAGCTGGAAATTGAGAGTGGTAGCTAGAGAGAGAGAGAGGGAAAGGGATAAACAGAGAAAGAGAGATGGCGGGGATATCTGAAAGTGAGAGGGAAAAGGTCAGAGAGGACACAGAGAGTGATGGCACCAAAGGGAGCTCTGTGTTAGATGGCCACCAGGTGTGTTAGACAGACGGAAGCCTTAAACCTGGCAGGTGGTGTTTGGCCTAATGGTGCCTTCACTAGCATCTGGATTCACTGTGTGTGTGTGTGTGTGTGTGTGTGTGTGTGTGTGTGTGTGTGTGTGTGTGTGTGTGTGTGTGTGTGTGTGTGTGTGTGTGTGTGGTGTGTTCACTTGTACTACTGCCTCATATAGCTGCATCTAAAAGCATACATTTTTGAATTTATACAAACGGTTCTTGTTTAAACTAAGGTCAAAAGAATTGCAAACTCCTGTCCTGAACCCACTGCTTACAAAACGTGAGGTCTTCCAACATCATGCCTTGATAAAAAAAAAAAAAAAAGGTCAAATTTGGAAGTGGGTAAGACTTTTTGTGGCTAGAAATGAGATAAGTGAATCCATGCCTTTTCTTGATTTTCTCAGTCTTTTGATGTTAGAAAACTAGTTAAAAGAACATTTAGCTGAGCCTGACCTCTTGTTTTAACTCTGTGCATGGCTAGTGCTATGTTTCCAGAGATAAGGCTTAGTCAATTAACTGAAACTATTGTAAACAATTGATTCATCATAAAATGTGTTACTCACGTAAAAAGCCAAATGTTCTCAGATGAATATTTTAGGGACTTTTTAGAGATAACATGGTTTATGAGTCAGCCTTTTGTTTTGACAAGATAGATGAAATTGTAGATACAAAGAGTTAGGGTTGCAGAAACTTGACTCATTACTCGCTTGTCTTGAATCATCATTACACAGATTACACACACACACACACACACACACACACACACACACACACACACACACACACACACACACACACACACACACACACACACACACACACACACACACACACACACACACACACACACACACACACACACACACACACACACACACACACACACACACACACCACACACACACACATACAGAGACACACACACACATTCTTGCACAAGCACACAGTATTTATAAGCAGCCAAATGCTTATTGGCCAGTATGTTCCAGCCCATTAAAGTTCAAGGCAGATCAGTGGTCATAGAGCTTAATCTGATTTGAAGAGTACTGGCTGGCTGACTTGCTTATGGGTAGACTCATTTCTAGATGACCAAGCAGGACACGCTTATTTATTCATTTAAGTAGTGCTCTGAACATCTCCCAGCTGGACTGTTAAGTAATTCCATCTCTTCCCATGGAGATAGACTGAGGGGAGTAATCTACGTGAATGACATCAAGTACTCTCTATTGCATCCTATCAGTTTCAGGAAACAGGCCCTAACCTTGGATCATAAGGCCAGGTCTGTCTTGCCATCACACGATAACTAGCAGCAGCCTGCTGAATTTCTTTTCAGATAATAGTCTGGCAGCTCACTGAGACCTCACTGTAATCCCAATAAGAACAGCTTGGGTCATAGGCAAGTGAAAATACATGCATTTATAGGTCAAAACTGTAATACATTTAAGTATATAACTATATTTCAATACCCTTTTACCACACTTAGCTACGGTGTTGATTTATTTTCACGTCTAAAGCACGCAACCAATGCTTACTTGGATTGGACACTGGTGGCACACTCCACATCTGTGTTGAAATATTCCTTCAATTAAGCCACAGATTTAATTCACTACCACCTCCGGCCGCCTGCCTTCTAATTCCCTGCTTTCAGGGTCACCTCTGATGACATCATGAGAGACAAGGACATCTGCTCCCATTGTGGTGCTTGATTGGCTCATTTCATCTGCATGCAAATCACGTCGGCGGGGACCTGGAGTACACTGGCCTAATTATGCCAAACGCATAACTCAATAGGAGCGATGGCGCCTTAGAAGGATGAAATGAAAGACAGAGAGAAAAAGAAAAAGGAATGCAGTCTTTGAGAGGATGGTATCGGGGCAAGCAGTGGAAAGTTAGATGAGTTCGAGGGAAAAACAGAACCAAATGATATTGAGGGTAAGGAATGGCATGGGGTTTGGGAGGTAACAAGCATGGGAAAACCGATGAAAAATAGAACCAGATGGATAGAAGAAGAAACAGACATGGGTAAATGGTGCATAAAGGGAAAGTCAGAAGAGGGAAAGAGAGGAAGTGGAATAAAAGCTTCCACAGAGAGCCTGTTGATAAATGACATGCATTGTGTGGCATGTCTGCTTGTTTAATATAAGGGACATTTTAATAGCATCTAAATGCTGGCTAAGGGCTTGCAGAGCTCCTGGGTCTCAGTTTGTGTGTGATAAGTGTCGTTATTGATGGAGAGTCAGACTGACACATAAACAGTCTAATGGCTCCCATATCGTCCTTTATGCATTCAATGCGCCCAGGACAGAATTCTTTGTTTGTGCCTATTATTTTTATTCTTTCATTGCCCCTCGCACAAGTAAGGAACTAAGAATGAAAA